GCACGTCCAGGAGCCGCACCCAGGCCTGGCAAATGCCTACAAGAAGCTCGGCAGGGTCATCCAGACCGTCGGCGACTACCACGCGGCGCAGGCCACGGCCGAGGCGACCACCATCGGCGACCCGTTCCAGTACCACTCGCAGGACGCCTTCATCGTCAAGGAGACGCTCACGAACCGCCAGATCCTCATCCGCGAGTACCTGCAGGCCCAGGAGGTGACGCGGAGCAAGCTCAACGCCGCGGACCGCCTCAAGGCCAGCTCGAGCGTGCGCCGGGAAAAAGTGGACGAGGCCATCGCCGCGCTGGACGAGGCCCGCACGAGCGAGACGCAGCTCTTCCACAAGACGAGCCGCGTCACGCAGAACCTCGTCCAGGAGCGCCGCCGGTGGTTCGAGCGCACGGCAAACGACCTCCGCCTCGAGATCAGGGAGCTCGTCCTGCGCGAGATCGAGGCCGAGCGCCGCTCCCTCGCCCTTCTCGAGAGCGTCCGCGCCGACATCCGCTCCATCGACGCCTCGGGCGGCCTCAGCCGCCTCGGCCGCGAGGCGCACCCCACCATCCGCCGGACCAGCCTCGCCGCCAGCCAGGGCCCTAAGGGGGACGCCTGGAGCGGCGTCCCTCGCCGCTCCGACGCCACCAGCCGCACCGCCTCCGTCGCGGGCAGCGCCAAGCTTGGCGTCCCCGAGGAGGCCGGTTTGGAGGGCGAGGGAAATGGCGCGAGGAGGGAGCCCGGTGGCGGCGGGCTGGGCAACTTGGTCGGGCTGGAGGAGGATGACGAGGATCGGATTGATGCTAGGAATGCGGCGAGTCGGTTGGCCACGAGCACTTTTTGAGCGGGCGTGCTTTTCATTTATGTCTTCAGAGGGTGCCATCTCTGTTCTTTTTCAGTCCATCTTCTCTGATTTGTGGTTGATGAGTGCGGCTCTTTGTCCTGAAAATAGTTTCCAATGTCCATATCAATACGACACTCTCCATGAGAAATACAATATAAAAGAACTTGTAAAAGCGGCCATTTGGTCGTGATACAACACGTGTTCATAAACTCCGTCATTGACACGGGGCAAAGCATAAGGGCCCTCGTTCGAATTCATAATCTATCTGTCAAGCCATGCCTTTCTGTCAGACACAGCAAAGTACCCCAAAACGCCTAAACATGCCTTTTGAAAAGTAAGACTGAAAACAATGCCCCCCTCGAACGCCCTCCATCAGACGTGCAAATCTCCCGTCCCAGAAATACTAAACGACGATCCAGTCGAATACTCCACCGTCCCGCGCCTCGCCGCAACCTTGCTCGCCTCAATGGCGTGAAATTTCCTGCCCACATCCTTTGCCTGCACGACGCCCTGCATGATGGAGTTCAAGAGGCCGAGGAGATGCACGTTGTTGGTCTCGCTCTGGACTTCCCTATTAAATGCCTCCCTGTCGGACGGGATGACGAGGCCGAGGCGGCTGACCAGGGCCTGGATCTGTCGGAGTATATTGAGCGACGGGATGGTGTTGTTGGGGTCCGTGTCCATGCTCTCCTCATCCGAAGTAGCACCTCCGTCTTGAGCATCGCCATAGATAAATGAAGTCGGCAAACGCTGCAGATAGGTCGTGATGAGCTGGATCCGCGAGTGCAGCATCTTGATGGCGTTTGCCTTGGCCGTCAGCGACGCCAGCATTTCCTCCTCCTCGCGCGAAAGAGCAGA